CTCTGTTGTGATCCTGGTCAGAGCAGTCGGTGGTAGCCGGGCACCATCTAGCTGTACTGGACTCAGTCCGGTGGAGGCCTTGGTAGCTGTGGACATTTAGTCCTTTCGACTAATCTTTTCCTTGTATCCTGGAGAACATGAGCTTTTTTGTCTTTTAGTTTGGTAAACCAAAGCCCTAGACAATAGTTTCCATTTATTTTGGTCCCATTACAAGCTAGGCACTTAATATGTATTGTTTTATTAATGTTCACACAACCCCACAAGGCATAGTTATTAGCACCATTGTACAGCTAAACCAAGGTGATTTAGATAAGTCACTTGCCCATACCAGGGCACTCGCACACGATTCTGGGTGTATTTCACATCACTCTCCTCCTTCTGCCAGAGCCCCAGGGGATCTTTTCTGGATATTCAGCATTAGAACCTGATAGGGTTCCTGCAGGTAAAGCCCATGAAAGTGTGGGCACTGCCCCCAGGACTACAGTCTCCAGGAGTTTCTCATTCATACTACTCTACACTCTACTTTCAAAGCATGAGAACACTCTTTTAAAGTAAAAGCAAAGAGATTTATTGAGGATAATACAATTCACGAATTGGGTAAACAGGACAGAGAGGAATCTGCCCAGTGCTCCCAAGCATGGAAGGAGGAATGTGTTTTTATAGTAAAGAGGGGGAGGAGTGCATGATGGCCACATGGTCACAAGATGGGTATTTTCATAAGCAACACAACTCTCAACCACTCAACCACCTTCCTAGAACATCTTCTTCTCCTACAATCACATTCCTGGCCCCCACCTTTGCTTACAAAGAGCTGCTAAACCATTCCTGGCCCCTACTCTTACTGAATTAAGAGTGGCTTGGGGCAAGAGCCAGGCCAGTTATACGAAATGATTGATAAGGGGCCAGGGTCTTCTGGTCCCATCCAGCCAGACGCCCAAGGCCATATGCATGTGAATAGGAAGAAGTTAAGGTTACATTCTCAGTCATGTGTGAGCAGGAGCTTGTAACAGATTGGAGTCAGGTTCCGACCGGCAACAGCCGTTTTATTTATGCCAAGTGCCTCAAGTTTTGGGGTGCTCTCAGACATTCCCCCCTTCTGATAATGAATTTCTATAGAAATTCTTTGATGATTATTTTAAGACTTTTCTTCTGCATGGACTTTGCTGAACTGATTTCCTGCGTGGTCTGTTTTCTAATGAAATCAGCATTATTACCAGTTTCTTCACTGTCACGTAGTTCAGACGCTCAGCTTCTGTGATCTCTACTCAGGGTATGTGTGGAGCAAGGCCACATTAGGAGGAACAACTTGACACCCAAAACAAGGCTAACTCAAGGTGTGAAGCCGACTCCTACAAGATTAGTTTCTTCAAGATACATAACCCTGTGCATAGCAGGGGGAACTGCCATTTGATTATAAGGATTAGATAAACATTTCATATATTATTTGATTAAACCTGCAATTATCAGTATAGCAATTTTAAAAAGTAACCCAGTTTGCAGAACAGAATGTAACCAGCGACCAATGCCATTTGATAACCAGCTAAAGATATCTGAAAAGGGAGAGTCAGGCATAGGAGGTATCCTTTTAGCAAATTCTCCTAATGTGCTGCTCTGCTTCTCCTGATTTATTTATCCAGGTACAGCCAGGGTTGTTAGCAATGGCACAAACTCCACCTTGTTGAGCTAGGATAAAATCAAGAGCTGATCTATTATCTAACATAACCTTATTGAGGGATTCCAAAGACTTGTGTTGGGCTGCCATTCCATCTGCAATATTGTCAGAAATTGGAGCCATTGTAGCACATAAATTACAAATAGACCTTCATAAACAAATTTGTGATCAGGAAGAATTTTCATCCAGCATTGTCTTGAGGAGCAATTAAAATAATTACTGATTTACTTAAACGAAACTCACAGTGTGACCTTTGGACTCTTGTTTCTCAAAACGACTGAATTCTTGGAAGAGCACAATGCCCAAAACAAAATGGTCTTATGAGTTTATCTGGACCATTGTTTGACTCAAAAATGTCTTAGGAACTTTTTTTTTTCCCCCAAAACCCAAGTTTCAGAAGGACACCTAAGGGCAATGGCCTATGTGAGTTACCCCAATTTCCATGAAACCCAGAAGTCTGGATTCCAGGAAAATTGAAAATCTTTCATCACTGCCTTCTAGCAATTTGTCTTAAGTTTCCATTTAAGTGTTCCTACCAGTTTGTGGTGCCAGTGGCTTCTGCTCCACGTAGGCAGGTCTCAGCTGTGCCTTTCCGGATACACTAGTCTCTCCAGAGTTCAGGGTGGCAGTTTGCCCTGTGGCCTCATTTCTCTGATGTGTCCAAGAAGAGCCATTTTTTCTTGTAAGACAGGAGTAACAAAGAATTGGTCAATCTTCAACCATTTCAGGAGGTAGCATATAATCAAGAACTAATGACACTGAAGGAAGAAATCCAAGCTGCACTGAAGACATTGGCAAAAAACAAGACTCCAGGAATTGACAGAATACCACCTAAGATGTTTCAACAAATGGATGCAAGGCTGGAAGTGCGTACTCATCTATGCCAAGGAATTGGGAAGACAGCTACCTGGCCAACCC